AGTACCTCCCGAGACTTTCTTTCGAAAGAAAAGGCTTTTGGTCAGCGGTTGCTGTCCCTAGCACAAAAGCCACGGCACTCAATGGGCAGATCTGCATCGCGCGGCCAGCACTAAAAACGACACTCCAGTGGATTGGCCCCGCAGTAGCCCCGGCCCTTATCGCGACTGGCCTTTGACGGGGACCACTCTCAGAGCAGGGCCGCTCGATGGGCCGCAGGGTGTGGTGGATCCGCGGCGGAGGCCGAGGCAGCGCCGGCAGCGGCCGCTGTGTGGAACGGCAAACCTCTCACTTGTCGCCACCAATCTCAGGGCGAGCTCGGCTGTGGGCCTCTCCCCTTTGTGAGCAGCCCGTGCGACGCGGCGGGGCGTGGAGGACAGGGCGGACCCTTCGCAGCCAAAGGGCGCTCCCAAGACATCGGCAAACAATACGTAGGTAAACTCGAGCGATGAGCATTGCGAGCAAGTCGACCCCGCCGCAGCCCCAGGTCCGCTGGGACGCAGAGATCCAACATCCAGGCTGGCGTCCACAAACACAAGCATCAAATAGTGTACCAATTCGGAAAATCAGCCAATAAATATTTTGACAATTTTCAGCTTCTCCTGTTGTAACATATGAAACGGGCGTTTTGTCGAGCAGAGGCCTCTCGTTGACTTTCTCGGTCGCGATTTCTGAAACCCCCCTTCCATGAGATTGGAGTGAAATTTGCTAGGAGCAGGGCAGCCTATAGCTCATTCTGACAGGGTGACACCTCTGCAGTATAGCTGCGCACGATCCGTGCGATTCGCCGGGTCAATACGCTGAGGGCATCCTGGCGTAAAATGGTGGCAGGCGACACGACACACATGCAGAACGTGACGCGAGCACAGGCGGTTACTACACATTGAGAATAACTGTGCTAAAACGTGACGTATGAAATTTGTACAAATAAACCACAGGAAAGTACCCCAACTAGTCGGAGCGCAGTGTCCATTGAAATTGTAAAAACAACAGGGATTAAAAATCACTTTCTGAAAGAAAAGTGACCGCCCCATCCCCCAGATTGATGTGGTTGAGACCAACTACTACGTCAACGTATATGGAGCGCTAAGTCAACACGTAGCGAAAAAAACCTGAAAGGGTTCTGAAAAATACATTCGTGCTGCCCATCCGTGGGCGTACAAAGGCATATGGCCAGCCACCCCTCCCCTTTTTCATTCGGCGAGCGCGAAAAAGTCCAAGTCAAACACGGCGACACACGCAATTAGTGCCGTGACAATGCCTGCGTCACAACAACGCACCCACGGCCATTCACTCGCACATATCGAACAGTGACAATGGTCAGCGGGCCCGACAATAGCCGGCGTCATGACGCTGTGTGCCCAAGGTGAGGAGGCGTGCGGTGCGCTCGAGGGGTACATTATCGCACAGAACAAACGCCAAAGTGAATAGGTACTCCATTTCACTGGAAATCGCTGACGTTCTGCGGTACACTCGAAATGTAAAGGGACAATTTTGTACCTAAAAAGGCAACGTGTTAGTGCGTATCCAGACCGGATTCACCGTTGTTTCTAAAACTGGACAAATTGCGTGCAGCTTTACACAATTTATCCAAGTTTGAGAGCAAAATTGCATCTTTCCTGAATGAGCACAACACGTAACCGTGTTACCCTTTTAGGAACAACATCGTCGCACTTTTAGAGTGTAAACACAGCTCCACACGATTACTACGTGCCTGTCACATTGACGACTACTCCGAGCCTTCCAACGTTTGTTTCTCACGGGGAAGAGTCTGCGCGGTGCCGCACAATTAAAGATGCTATCAGATGATGACTGATGGCTGATTCGGGGCTCATCCCGCGGCCCGCCCATCGGACAAAAGGCAGCTGCAGGCAGAGGCAATCCGAGCCGCGGCCAACGCCAGAGGCAGCGAGCGCGCCGCGAGCAGCTCCCAGCGGCCCGAGGAGTGGACGTAGAAACAACGACTCGTTGCAAGCCCCTAGCCGGCTGGCCGCAAGGTTTGACGAACCATCGAGATAACAAAACGGCTCGATGACTTATGAAATACATTTTCGACCCCCGAGCCGTCTTATCTCAAACCCGTAAAATAAATAGAAAGCAGCGCAGGCGCGGTGTGCGGGCCGCACGGACCTAGCAGCGGGCTGCAGCGGCGCGAGCAGGGGGTTGGGGAGGAGGTTAATCAGATAAGTGCGTTGACTTAGCAGACGTCTTTTTGTTTACTCTATTCTCCATCTTCGGTATTGAATCAGAGAGACGTTCCCGCGCTTTTTCTCTTTTTTTCGCTCAAACCCACTCTATTCAGCAGCCACATGCGCGCCCAACTTGCTCGTTTAATCACGCTGCCGCAAGCTGGGGCGTGGCGGGGTGTGGCGGGGCATGGCGGGGCGGGGCGGGCGCCGCCTGAATACCACCATTGTCAGGCATCAGGTGGCCGAGGCTCACAAGTTTGTATTCCCAAGTAATGAGCGCCAGCCGATTCCATCACCACGACGAGGGCACAGCACGCCGAGCGACCCCCAAGCGCACTCCCACAGCTTTTGACAGTGCACCCCCCCCCCCCCACACAAACGCGCGCCCTAACAACACACCGTTCACTCGCGCGCCCTCTCTCTCCCACTTGGCGAGAGAAGATGATGCCAACAATTTGGGGTTTCCCATTTCCTGGGCAAACTGCTCCGGCGGGGCCGCGGCTCTTCCGAGGGCGCTGCCCAGCAGGTTCCTTGCACGGCCCAGAGCCTATTTACTCCTCACCTGATTGGTTGCCGGGGCCTACGCCACCCCATTTCCTTTGTCTCGACGCTACAGTTTCAGCAGACTGTTGCTTTTGTGTTTCTTCCGTCTGCCGCACAGGCGCCGTCCCAATAGTTCTGTTCAGAGAAGCCTCTCTCCCTCTGGAAAGACTGCCGAGGAGAGCTGGCTACACTCATACTGTTTCATTGTAAGCCTGAGATGTTCTCATTTCCTGCACTGAAAAAAAAGTTTAGCTGAAGTGACTAATATGCTTCGTTGCATAGCAGCCGACGAACGTGTTAGCTATCTGGACTATCAATACAGTTCTTGCTTTTAATGATACAAATTTACACTAAAAGATACACTACAGGTACCAAGCTCAATCCGTTTTCGAGTTATCGTGATGACACAGACAGACCCGAAACTTTTTCATCATCACTGGAGTAATAGGCTTCGCTATCGCTCACACGAAAAAAAAAGAGACTGTCGCAGTGACCAACCTCTGGTCGATAGGCTTGAGTCGATAGCTGCAATTAAAAATCTGATGATAGCAACCAGAAGTTGGCTTCCACGATCAAATACTTGTACGACGCAACCAAGGGGTGCTTTGTTGTTTTTCTACAAGCATTTGATCGTGGTAACCAACTCCTGGTTGTAATCATCGGATTTTCGATTGCAGCTATTAACTGAAGCCTCTCAAACAGGTTGGACTCTGCGAAGACCAAGGTTACGCTAATAACTTATGCGTTCGATAGGACGCAGATCTTCTGAATAAATGTATGTACGTTTTAGTGTGTACTTGACTAAATACACCCTTCCTCCTGCATACTTCGCCAAGTACACACTACCTCCTGCATACTTGCCAAGTACACAGGACCTCCTGCATACATGTAGGTATGCAGGAAACACTGCATACATGTAGGTATGCAAGAGACACTGCATTCAAGTACACACCTCTGCTTCCAGAGAAAACTAGGAATTCTCTGCAATCAAATGCAGTGTGATTAAGATCAAAATTACTTAATAGTTTATTAATTAGTTTGTATCTATGAAATTTAAAAATGTGATGTTTGGTGCTAAGACAGTAGAGTGAGAGAAGGAGATGTAAGTGAAGTGATTATGGATCTTATAAATTGTTTTAAATAGTTGCCTTTCTTGTTTGATGGAGTTGTGAGTTTCTGACCAAAGATGAGAGGTGTGTATGTTATTGGCTGAGCGATAGCGAAGCCTATTACTCCAGTGATGATCAAAAAGTTTCGCGTCTGTCTGTGTGTCTGTGTGTCTGTCTGTCTGTCTGTGCGCACGATAACTTGAGAACGAATTGAGCTAGCGACCTGGGATTTTCAGGGTCGTTTTGTGTCATAAAAAGACAGATCGAGTTCGAAGAGGAGCATTCTGGCTCGAAAATTGGATTTTTAAAAATTCTAAAACCTCAGGTCCCCAAAATGAAGTTTTTTTAAAATATTTTTTCACTCTTTCCTAAGGGGTAACTCATCAAAGTAGAAAATTTCGTCTATTTGGCTCTATCTTTAACCGTTTAGACACCAGAGCGATTTTTCTACACCAAAATGACCGCAAAACATTTCTATGTTTTTTCTCAGATATTTGATGGTCTTCGGTAGGATAACTCATTAAAATAAAACCCCGAGGAACAAAATTTGTGACTTTTGGGGCTGAATGCCTACTTACGACTTTTCCTCGACTCGGGTGTCAGCGCCGCAGGCCTAGGTAGATGTATGCCAGGCGCGTCGCAGCGTAACAGTGTTTCGTGAGATATCGCGAAGCCTGTTACGCGAGACGTGGTCTGGCGTACATCTACCTAGTTTAAACTATGACATTTATAAAACAGCATAACAAAACTGATATGTTTTGCAAACCAATGTTTAGGTAGTAAAATTGTGACAATGCAAATTTATAATGATGAAAAGTATTCCCACTGTTCTAGGATTCCCCAGGTTTCCCAGTTCTAGTACCCGAATGGGAGTGGTAGCACTCCTGGAGTGTTAAATAATAATTGGATATGTGTTGCAAAATTTAAGTTCAGAATTTGTGTTTGTATTGGAAATGTGCACAGAAAAATTTGAGGAGTGTTGGAAAATGGCAACTTTTTATATAGCACTGTATGAGTGTATACTGTACCTATTTTGGACCCAATAATATCAGAAAGTATCGGAACGACCGAGGGGACGACATCTTGACTCATCTTTCTTAAAAAACGCAAAATACCTTTGAGCCATAATTCTCAACAAAATTCAATGAAGGAAAAGAGAACTTTGAGCAGTTTTGTTTATTGAAGCAGGGATGCGAATTTTGACTCCCGAAAAGCAGACCTTAAAATATAGAACATGAAAACAAAAATAGAAAAATTACGTTAATATAATAACACAGCAATATATAAGACTCAAAACAGTAGAAAGCCATGGGTGGGGCCGAGGATACTAGTTAAAGGGAAACAACCTACTTCACAGAAATGCCGAGAATCACAGAGAAGCAGAATAGGTAGAATTAGCTTCTAGTAGTGATTAAACCTCTATAAGCACTCGACAAGAGAGTGTGTCTTCGAGTGACTACGCAGATTAGAGTTCCTTCGGAAGCGCTCCTCTCAAACGTCACCTTACGCCTTGTCAGTGTGAGTCATCGTGTGACGAACAAGATCCTGCTTGACGCGAAAACCCCTCTCACAAACCTCACATTCACTTGGTTACTCGCCAGTGTGGGTCCTGACGTGGACATCAAAGTGATATTTCCTATTGAAACGCTTCAAACAAATGTCACACTCAAATGGTTTCTCGCCAGTGTGGGTCCTGACGTGGGTATCAAGGTGATATTTCCTATTGAAACGCTTCAAACAAATGTCACACTCAAAAGGTTTCTCGCCAGTGTGGGTTCTGACGTGGGCAGCAAAGTGATTTTTATGATTGAAGTTCTTTCTGCATTCTTGACACTGGAATGTTTTTTTCCCGAAATGAACAACTTTTTTTCGAACTGCAATTGTCTGCTTCTGCTGCTCGGCGTCGTGAGGCTCTTCGTTGTCACGAGATTCACAGTTTCCCTCGGGCGTTTCCTCCGCACAGGGCGCCTCCTGCCCGTTTTTCAGGGAGACGTCGTCGTCCTCTAGCCCTTCTTCGCTATCACTGGTAGCGGCGCCTTCCGCGCGGCGGGCGCTAAGCGAGTAGCACCCGGTCACCACGAGCCCGAGCTGATCGACCTCACCCCCGGACGCGCATCCTGCACTGGCGTCAAACACGGAGATCTTCTCTTCTACGGCCTCCACATCCGACTCGCAGACCGAGCCAGTCGGCTGCGGAGGGCGGCCCCGACGCTGTCCCAGACGCTCTACCTGGAACAGGAGCATCGCGTGACCAACCTCGGGGGAGCTGATATGCAGTGGTGCAAACCACCAGCACCATGCACGTGCACGACATCTCGAAGCCTCCTTGTGCTATGCAGCACCCGCTATCTACAAGGCCGGGAGAAGAGAAAACAAAACAAAAAACATTTGTTTTCCTCAATTTATTGTCTTTTAGAGTAAAAAGCAATGCAGAGAAATACAACTTTTCCCAGTTTTATTTATTGGAGTGGGAATCATATTGTTTTATTTAAGAAGACGTATCATAAGCCAAGTGACAAACAAAACTGTACAAAGCATTGCACCTGGCTTGATTTTCGAGTGAGTAAAAATGTAAGATTACTTGACAGAAACACAGATAATCACAATTTAATTTTAAGTAACGGGTTCCTGCAGAGATAACATGTTTACAAGTCCTCGACATTAAAGTGCATTTTGACGTGATAACGTAGATGAGATTTTTGTCGGAAGCGCCCGTTGCAAACGTCATATTCATACGGTTTCTCGATGAGAAGAATCCTGATGTGACGAATAAGGTCACCATGTGAGAAAAACGACTCCTACAAACGTCTCATTCAAATGGTTTCTCGCCCGTGTGAGTCCTGGCGTGAGCAGAATGGCATTCTTTAAATCTGAGCCTCTTCTGGCAAACGTCGCATTAAAATGGTTTTTCGCCAGTGTGAGTCCTAGAGTGGGCTGCAAGGACATGTTTATAGCCAAACCGCTTTCCACAATCGCGACATTCATGCGGTTTCTCGCCAGTGTGGGTTTTGACGTGAGCAGAATGGCCTTCTCTAAATCTAAACCTCTTCTGACAAACGTCGCATTCAAATGGTTTTTCGCCAGTGTGAGTCCTGGAGTGGGCTGCAAGGACAT